CCCCGCCCCGCCCTGAAGCCCCGCCCTGAAGCCCCGCCCTGAAGCCCCGCCCTGAAGCCCCGCCCTGAAGCCCCGCCCTGAAGCCCCGCCCAGGCCATGAGGGCGGAGGGGAGGTTTCCATGGCGACGGCAAACAAGGCCCTAACTGGAGGGCCGCAGCTGGGCTACTACTCCCGCCGCCGCCATGATTCCCCCCGCGGACTCTCTGCTCAAGTATGACACCCCGGTGTTGGTGAGCCGGAACAGGGAGAAACGGAGCCCCAAAGTAAGGACGGGTCTCAGAAGGTGGGGGAGCACGAAGCTCCGATGGGGAAAGACCGATCCCTGCCTTGAGGATCGGGAGTCCCGAGGGACAGAGGCTGCAGTGACTGGGAGTAAAGGGAATTGGGACCGGAGAAGGAGGGTAGGAGAGCGATACAAGAAGCCCAGTTGTTGGGTGACCCCAAAGGGCAGATTTAGGATGGGGAAGAAAGTCACAGGGAGGTGGATGGGGCTCACCCTTTTTCACGGTAGCCCCAAGAATAGATCTGGGAGTGATTGCCCCATCACTAGAGCAGAGGCCCGAGCAGCTGTGCCAGAAACATTTCTTCAAGAAGATACAAGCATTAGGTTGGGGTGGAACCAGAGATTCTTCGTGGCCTCCTTCAGCTCTGAAACATAACTTTGGCTGAGAAGACAGGGGAAAGTGAGCTGGGAAGAGGGGAGGGATGTGCAGGAGAGCTGGAGCAACCCAGGGGGCCAGGGTGTGTGGAGCTGAGTGTCTGAATCACCTCCTGCCCCTACTTGTCCCTCCCTCTCAGGCTCGGCCACTAAAAGTCAGCCCTCAGCAGCCCGGACCCTCAGGTCCCGTCCCACAGCCACCAAAGACCAAGCTCCCCTCAACTTCCTGTGTCCCAGATCCTACAAAGCAGGCAGAAGAAATCTTGAATGCCATCCTGCCCCCGAGGTAAAAAAGCAGTGGCTGGGAAGAGGCCCAGGCTTTTGCATCCCTGAACTTGGGGATGTGAGAGGAGGCACCTTGTCTCTGTTTCTGACTGAGATTTCCTCCCAGCATCCTAGAGTTTCTAGGGCTTGCACATGGCTAGATCCTGGGAATGTGGGTAGCAGGGAGACCTCTTCTCTATCTACCATCATTTCCTGAGTGCTCTCACCCAGGCTTATGGCTTTAAACATCACTTATATGCTGATTTCTCCCACAGGTCTTTCTGCAGCCCCGTCCTCTCCCCTAAACTCCAGACCTATACTTCCTCATTACCTTCATGAAGATGTCTAATAGACATCTCAAACTCAACAGGTCCAAACTAAATCACAACGTCTTCCTTCCCCCAACCAGCTCATTCGCAGTCTTCTCCTCTCCACTAGGGGCGCGGGCCACCTTTCATTCCCTTTGATCTCTCACATCACATGTCTTGTCCTTCAACATGTTCTTTTGGCTTTCCCTTCAAATTATTTTCCAAATCTGACTGATTTTTACTCTGCTGCCACCATCTATTTTTTTAAAATTTATTTATTTGGTTGTGCTGGGTCTTCGTTGCGGCAGGCGGGCTCCTCAGTTGTGGCATGCGAACTCCCAGTTGCGGCATGCGTGTGGGATCCAGCTCCCAGGGATTGAACCCGGGCCCTCTGCATTGGGAGTGCGGAGTCCTGAGTCCTCCTCTGGGAGGCCTTCCTTCAGACTCCTTTCTAAAAGGAGAGCTCCCTTCTTCACCATCCCCTTACCCTGCTTCTTTCTTCTGCAGCCACAATGATCATTGTGATCACAGTGCCTTTCAACTGTTTTTATGTAATAAGTTGACAAGCAGTTTTTAAAGTTATGATGGAAAGGGGAAACAGTAAAAGCCAGACTGCAATCTCCTCTGAAATGGAGGTCAAAGGAGGGGAGGGTGTTTTTCATTTGCTTCCCTTTCAACAATGCGTGGAATCCTCTCCCTCACGGTGGTTCTGCCCTCAGGCCCCCCCTCGTGATTCCAGAACCTGGCTGTGTCTCTGACACAAGGTTCACTACGGGGGGCCCATATAGGTACACACCCCCAATACATACATTCACCTCTTTCTGATTTTAGTATATGTGCTGCTGAAGAGCACCATTCACCTCTTTCTGGCTGGCACAAGGTTTACAGTCCCCTGTGTCTCCTACTCACAAGTCAGTGGGAATTTCCGCTGGGCCTTCCGTTCAGATCAAGCAACAACCACCATCAATCTGCCCTCAACATGTTAGGAGTGTAAGATCTGGACCGTGGATGACGACTTCACAGAGGGTTGTGGGAGAATGAAGATAGCCTAGCCCCAAGATAGGGGCCCCATGGAGGTGGCACAGTGGGTGTGGCTTTGGAGCCACACACTCATAAAGGGAGAAAGAGATGGAGGATTCTGGTGGGTCAGGGACAGAGCCGCCCCTCACTCCTCTCAGGCAGAGAGCGCAAAGGGCCATCTCTGCTCACATCCTGAGGACCCTGTCTGGTGGATGGGGTGCGCTCAGCCTGGCTGTGTCTGTCCCGCAGGGAGTGGGTGGAGGACACGCAGCTATGGATCCAGCAGGTGTCCAGCGCCCCCAGCACCAGGATGGATGTGGTACACCTCCAGGAGCAGCTGGACCTGAAGCTGCAGCAGCGGCAGGCCCGGGAGACCGGCATCTGCCCGGTGCGCCGGGAGCTGTACTCGCAGTGCTTCGGTGAGCGGTCCTCGAGGGAAGCTACACCACCCTCTACTGCCTCCTTCCCTTCCCTTCGCACAGATCCAGGCTCTGAGTCCCCTGCAGCTGAAGCCTGCCCCATCCTGGAATGTCTGTCTCCCCCGACCTGCCCCACCCAGGAACTGTTAACTGTGCTCTCTTCCCCCTCCCAGCCCACCTCTCTTACCAGTCCCGTACCCACCCTTGTCAGTCACCGTGTTCCTGACGACCTGCTGGATCTTAGTTCCCCGACCAGGGATTGAACCCGCGTCCTCTGGAGTGGAAGCGTGGGACCACCAGGGAAGTCCCAATATGTTAGTTTTTTAATCAGAAAAATTTAATGTTCTATATTTATATCCATCCATCAACATTAGGCCTTGGTCCAGAAAAATATTTCAGGGTGATTTGTTGTGACCCAACAGACGCAGGGATTTGAGATCTCCCTCCTCAGGTGCTGGTGTCAGATGACTGGCCCTCGGTCTAGTCTCACCAGCCCGTGTGGACTCAGACATGCAAACCGCATCCAAACCCTGAGGCAGCTGCACGGGGGTAGCAGGCTCCCTTCAGTCTGAGTGTGATTCTGGTTTGCCCTCCCAGTCAGCATTTATGGAGGAGATGGGTGGGCAAGCTCTAGACCCTGCTGTTTCCAGCCCCAAACCAGTCCAGCCAAGGGGGCACATAGGAGCTTCCAGCTGCTTTAAGACAGCCACCAATGTTTATATTGAAAAAGTCAGAATTCTTTGAATAGCACCCAGTTTCTGCCTAACGGTGGGAGAGAGGGCCCCCACGGCTGCAGACAAACCTGGGCTCTTGTCTGCCTCTGTGCTGGCCAAACCAGGCTTGCTGATGGCCTGTACTCCCAAGTGCCAAGTTCACAGCAGTGGCTGCATGGCAAGGCCCCTCCCTGAGGCCTGTCTCCAAGTGAGGAGGACATACCCTAGTGCCCTTCCGACTTCCCAGTAGGAAGGTGGTTTGCAGTAGGTGTGGTGCATTTCCCCGCCTGCCTGCCTTCTCCGACCTCGCCATGTGTGCCTTGGCAGATGAACTGATCCGCGAGGTTACCATCAGCTGTGCAGAGCGAGGGCTGCTGCTGCTGCGAGTCCGGGACGAGATCCGCATGACCATTGCTGCCTACCAGACCCTGTATGAGAGCAGCGTGGCATTTGGCATGAGGAAGGCGCTGCAGGCCGAGCAGGGGAAGTCAGACATGGAGAAGAAAGTGAGTGGTTTCACCAGGAGACTTTGGCCCTCTTCGACTCTTCTGTCAATCTCAGGGCCACAGCTCGTCATTCCAGCACCAAACTCCGGCCTCCTAGGTGCTCTCCCATCACCTTAGTGAGGACCCTTTGGTTCAGTGTCACGGCCAGTCCGGTCGTGGCAGAGTTGTCTCCCCTTGGACATGCCCTGCCAGTCACTGACCTCCCACTGGGTGGCAGTACAGACCCTGGCAATGCCTTCGGTTGGACAGCTGTGTCCCAGGTCCTCTTCACCCAGGCACTCACACCACCCCGTCCACTTGGCGACGTCCCAGCATGACTGGGGATTCTGTCCTCAGATTGCAGAATTAGAAACGGAAAAGCGAGATTTGGAGAGGCAAGTGAACGAGCAGAAGGCAAAATGTGAGGCCATCGAGAAGCGGGAGAGTGAGAGGAGACAGGTGGAGGAGACGAAGCACAAAGAAGAGATTCAGTTCCTGAAGCGGACTAATCAGCAGCTGAAGGTAATCGATGCCCAGACCCATGTGGAGCTCCTGCCACCCCCATCCCCGGCCCTGCCAGCCGAGCAGGCCAAGCATTTGGTTCCTTGTCCTACACTGACTTTCAATACTGCCAAGGAGTAAAGGAAGCTGACTCTTGGGGAGAGGTGAGGGATCATTACCTAGATTCTCTGTCCATCTCCATCTGGCTCCGAAGAGAGGCCGTATTCTCAGCTCTGGCTCTCCAGTGGAGGATTTTTTTCCCCTTGGATAAAAGTTGCCTATTGTCTGGGAGAGGTGGCTATGTCAAGAAGTGGGACGTCTGTCCCATGGCAGCTGGCACTCTGGAGACTTCTTAGAGTGGGCTGTCTCTCCAGCCGGCCTTCATGGGAGTGCTTTCCTGCCTGCAGTTCCCTCTGAGGCCCTGCATTCGGGGCGGGCTGGGAAGGCCCTTCGAGAGGGAAGAACCATTTCAAATCAGGAAGCTTCCCGAGGTGTGTGGTCAGAGGAACTCAGCTGTAGGCACTTTTCATCAAAGCCCTTTTGCTGATGGTATACTTTTATCCAACCGAGCTGAAGGGAGGGAGGGAGGGGGACTAGTGAAAAGGGCTGGGCTAGGGGCCAGGCTTCTGAAGCTCCAGGCTGTCTGGTCCAAAGGTTCTCAGAGGGTTGGGCCCCAAACCAGCATCATCCTCATCACCGCAACTTTCAGAAATACAAAGCATTGGGCCCAGCCCAGAGCTACTGAATCAGAAACTTTGGGGTTGGGGTCCAGCAAGCCATTCTAACAAGGTCTCCAGGTGATTTTTTTTAACCTTTTATTATGAGAATTTTGAAACACCAAGTAGAATAACGCAGTACACATCCATGTGCCCATTACAGAACTTCATCAATTGTCATCATTTTGCGAATCTTGCAGAAACAAGTGTTACTTATAATGAGATAAAACAGGATTCAAACTTCGTGGAGAAGAGTAAAATATAGGTTTTTTTACTAACAAATGGTGAAGGTGGGCAGAATCACTGCATGGTGCAACATTCTCCATTCTGAGGTCTGCCAAAGTTTGAGAACCACTGCTCTAGATATATGGCCTATTGACGTTCAGTGGCTGTCTCCCATGGCCCTGGCCAGGAAGGGCCCCTAGATGTACCTCCTTTTCCTCCCTAGTTTCATAGAAGCTTACATTCTTGCGATTGGCAGGCTTGTTGGTACTACAAGCCAAGGCCAGGCATTTGAGATAAAGAAGGGCTTGTGTTAATTGCTAGTGGAGGATGACATAGATTTTCTTGTTGCTGAGTTTAACAAAACAAAGAAACTTTCACAGCCAGATGTGAATCTGTTTACTTAGCAGTCTCTGAAGCTGCCTCCCTTATCTGCCATATTCTTTTATCATAAGCTCAAGTTCCTCAGTTCCTCCTATGGTATTGGCGGCAAGGGCAAAGCAGAATACCTTGGCATCTTTCTAATATTTACAAGCAACCTTGGAACCCCCAGGGTGAAGGACTCTTTAGAAGTGAGTTATTTTTATTGCCTCAAAGCTGCACTGCAAATAAAGCAGTGTTTGCAGTCCGCAGGATAGACCTACTTAGAGATCTGTTCACACACCATGACAGTGAATTATTTTACTGGCTGCCAGAGGAGCAGAGTAAATAACTCCCAAGTGTCTGAAGCTTTACATACAAGATGGACAGCTCCCTACTCACTGGTGGCAGTTTTCTCTAAGTGGGTATCAGGTTGTCTCAGTGGCTGAAAATCTGCTGTTTCCGAAACCTCTTGTCCCAGCACAGAGCTCCCAGGCTCCCAAACCAGAGAGCCAAATATTTAACTTAGCAGACATACTCAGGCTTGAAATCTGAGCCTTGAAAAACCACTATTTCAACAACTTTTATTCAATTTCCTTTTCAATGCCTTATATTACACACTGAGCAGCTATTGTATGGAAACCAGGACAGCTATGATTTCTCCTAATGCAGCAAGACTGAATGCCAAGCCAGAGACCAGCTAATCTAGAAAATATGGAGTTGGGAATGAAGGGAAAAACACTTGGAGTGGCAGCATTTGGATTATTCTTCCTGGAGACTTTTATCACCTCTCAGCTATTTGTGTTAGGCTGCAAGTTTCAAATATTAACGGAGTTTGTTTTTGTTTTTCAGGCCCAACTGGAAGGCATTATTGCACCAAAGAAGTGATAATTTCCATATGGGTCTCAGCAAGCACTACTACCCCATCATAAGCCCTTTGTAATAAAAAGCTTCCTGAGTGAAGCCATACCCCTCCCCTGGTCCCACCTACAAATCTGTCAGAAGCCACACCACCGCCCCAGTGTGGTGCAACACCTACGGTCTGGCAGCCAGGCTCCGGGCTGGACAACAGAAGGCAGTGTGGCCCAGGAAGTCTCTGTACGTGGCCAACCTTGGGATTTGCCAACTCCAACAGTGAGACTCAGAATTCACGCCTTTTGGCTGTATCCCTCTCAGGTGGAGCAGCTCCTCTCTCACCATCACTCCATACTATCGCTTATTTCCAGCCACACAAAGCTGATTCTCTGCCCCGCAATTCATCTTGTCCCTTAACCCGGGCTCCTCTGGCCTCAGTCTTGCCCTTATTCGATGTCTTTTCATCATCCTTACTCCAGTGCAGTTCTAGTACCTCATTTTGGAATTTTCGGTTTATACCTATCATCTTATCCCCGCCTGCCAAGTCACTGGACCCCATCCTCCTTAGTTTTGGACTACCTGGGTAGGAGGCAATGGCAGGGTCAAACCCACGGGTTTCGAGAAAGTCAACATGCGCTGGAAAGAAATACAGGTCACGGTGTCCATTGTGAGCTGCCTGGACCTCGGCTCCTCCCCCAGCACTGATTTGTTCACCTTGCTCTGCAGACAATCAAACCCCAACCCTACAGCCTGACTAGCCCAGACCTCACTCTCAGTTCTAATTATTCACGACTGGGCCATGGCCTGTAGACAACTGCATTTTACTATTCCTCATAAGCTAAACTCAGTTTGGAGGTTCAGGAGTCTTCTGATTTCATAGACCCAGAAGACTAAATTAGTGACATAAATCCTTGATCCAGGGCACACCAGCAGCTCAGTGAGTGCCATCACTCAGTCACACTTCACAACTAGCATGACTAAGAGGCACTAACATCTCCTCTCGGTTACAAGGCCTCAAGTGCTCAGCGTTCTCTTGGAGAGGTGCTCGGGTCGGACACCCGTCCCGGCCAGGGCTTCCAGGCTCACTGGACGAACTGCAGTCCAACAAGAACAGCTGTGTTCCACTGAGTCAAACAAGCCCTCTACACTCTAATCTCAAATTTGAAGTCACAGCTTTTACCCTCATCCAGGTGTCCTGAGGAATTAATCCCCAGATTCCACTAAAATGGCCTGTCTGTGCTCTGTCATTTTCATGGGAAAGAACTGTGGTCACTGAGATGTGCTAGTCCCATGACTCCTTGACAGTGCAGCACTCATGGCCTGTTAGGTTCCCCTAGCAGACTCAACGACGGACAACACAAGTTGCTGTGGCTTTTTCTTCGTATTTTAAAGCCTAGGCTCTGCACACGACATCCCTAAAATTTTCTTCTTTTTACAGTTCTATTCCAAAGAGCTCCTGTTCTAAATTGCTCATTGCCAGTCCAAAAGAAATACCACACACCACATTTTCTAGACCTCAGGCCTGTTTCTGTCAGATATCTCCATTTGCTTGAGGAACTCACAGGGCTAATTCAAGTGTCAGAAGTTCCAGTGGACCCCATCACTGAGATCCTTGGGGGTCAGGGGCTTATCTTTATTTTCACTAGCACTGGTGAATGGTTTCAACTGTCAAATCTCAGAACAGATGCACCCATGGCCTTCGAAATGCCAACTGGGCCCGAAGAAAACGAACAGAGTTTCTAACTGCATATTTTTGTAGAATTTAATAAACAACTTTTAAAACGTTACTGCTTATGTTTCAATTTCTTCTGTCTGTGTTTCTGCCCCTCTGAGTCACTGGTCTTCTTTTTGTTCCTGTTCCTATTTTTCACATTGTGTGTTTCATAGTAGCGTACACCGACTTTTCTGGATCGTTGCTGCCGTGCTTCTCGCCTCCGCTGTAAAAAATGGCGCACACACACAAAGAGGGAAAAAAACCAATCAAACACTGAAAGTCATAAAACAGGCCCCTCTGTTTCTCTGTGTTCTATTCCCACGCTGCTCCCACAACTACTGGAAGCAGCGCCAACAAGGGAGAGTTCACCTCACAGACCCAAGTCTGCACTTCCATTGTGACTTGTGACCACTCCAAGTTACAGATTGTCATTTGGTCCAACCCTCATCCAACGCTTGAATCTTTTCTCCTGAGCTCCTGACAAGTGGTCCTCTGGTCTAAGGCTGATCACTCTGATAACAAGCTCTCCACCTCCGAAGAGGGCCCCCTCCAGCTCTGGAGGGCCCAGTTACAGAGCTAAACTTCACAGAAGGCGGTGATCTGTCTGCCTACACAGCTCTGCTCCTCACGTGTCATTTCCCTGAGGCCACATAAACCCAGCGGACTCTTCCAAACAGTAGTCCACGTGTTTGGGGATAGTGATCAGGAATTCGTAAAACAAGACATAAACTCAAGGACCTTCATGCAGCAGCCCACTCCTTGATCCTGTTTCACTGACCTCAACTAGGTCGCTTAGGACTGGGGTTTCTTTTTTTTTTTTTTTTAGCGGTATGCGGGCCTCTCACTGCTGTGGCCTCTCCCATTGCGGAGCACAGGCTCCGGACGCGCAGGCTCAGCGGCCATGGCTCACGGGCCCAGCCACTCCGAGGCACGTGGGACCTTCCCGGACCGGGGCACAAACTCGTGTCCCCTGCATCGGCAGGCGGACTCTCAACCACTGCGCCACCAGGGAAGCCCCAGGACTGGGGTTTCTTGATTTCAACTCCAGACCTTTAGTTTCTGGTGTGAGTCTTAAGAAATGGACTTCGCCTCTCTACACCTGGGTGACGTTTCAGACCAAAGCACATACTTCCTTAGATGTAAGCGTCCTGCGAGCTTTGTTCGACTGCTCCTCCTCCCTCTGTGCCTTCCTCTTCTTTCCCTTTCTGGTAGGTGCTGGAAACGAAACACAAGCACACACAGAGGAAAGAAACAGGAATTTTTTAATTCAAAATGTGTCTGAATCCTAAGGTGGGAATGAGCTTGTTGTGCTTGAGAAGGAAGGCAGAGGCCGGTGTGAAGGGAGTGTGGTGAGCAGAGCAGAGCAAAGCAGGACGAGGCTGGAGGCTACCAGACCTGGGGGGCGCTGAGTGGCCTCGGCGGGGTTTGCGTTTGTCTTGAAAACACACTCAATGTAGGAGCTAGTAGTCTGACCACATAAAGAATAAAATTACGTGAACCATCCTACTCCCAGAAAAAAATTTGTCTTTGGACCCACCCTTACATTACAATGTTCATAATGTACTCTTTTTTTTTTTTTTCTTGCGTTATGCGGGCCTCTCACTGTTGTGGCCTCTCCCATTTGCGGAGCACAGGCTCCGGACGCGCAGGCTCAGTGGCCATGGCTCACGGGCCCAGCCGCTCCGCGGCATGTGGGATCTTCCCGAAACGGGGCACGAACCCGCGTCTCCTGCACCGGCAGGCGGACTCTCAAGCACTGCGCCACCAGGGAAGCCCCATAATGTACTCTTTTGAGAGGAATTTTCCCAAATCACCCATTTAACCCCAAGACATGTGCAGAATAAAAAGAAGAAAAGCCAATTTGTGTGATAAATAGTAAGTGGAACCAGGGTTACCTGCCAGATATGATAAATATCTGTGTGGATGACAGTACAAGAGATACTCTGGAGATTAACCTTAGATTTCCCAACGTTCTAAAGATGCAAATCACACCTACATGATCTTAATAATTTAACTGTACCTGTATCTCCTACATCTTCTTCAGCTGTTCTCTGTTCTTCGGATTTTGCAAAAACCACTTTACTCAGTCCCTTGGATATTCTGTAAGGGGAAGAGTAGAGCAATGAAGCCGTCCAACATTTCCCCCGCTGCCCACACAGGCGCTGACCACACAGGCGCTGACGCAGAGACCATGACAAGCTCGCAGATTAACGAAACCCCGCTGCCCCTTCACGTGGTTACCACCATCGGGAGGAGCAACATTGTTTTGGCGGCTCCTGGGCATTTGTAAAAGACAGAACTATCAATACTAAGCTTCTCACACTTCAGGCAGTTGAATTTGAAAAACATACAGATCACTTTTAAAAAACGGCAATACCCTCCCCTGCCCTACAAAAACAATGGCTCCAATCCTCACGGCAAGTTTCTGGGAAAGGAATGAGCAAACTGCAATTCGTGAGGAGATGAGGACGCTACCTGACTGCTGAAAACTTCTTAGCTTTGGCTTTGTTTAAAAACCTCTGGTACTTAGCAATCTTCTCATCCAGGGCTTGAATAATGGCCTTGGTGTTGCTTCCCGCGTGTTCTTCCTGGGACTTTGCGTAAGACTCTTCCTCTTCGTCTCCTCGGTGTTCCTGTTCCTCCTCCTCCTCCTCCTCCTCCTCCCTCTCCGCAGAAAGGCTCTCCAGCTCTTCATCAATATCAGACATCTCCAGAGGAACGAGGTCATCCCCAGAAAACTGAGGCACGACGTTGATTTTGCCAAAGTTCTGCCGGACCCGCGCCACAATCTGCTGCATTTCTGAATCGGCGCCACCATGACCGGGCTCCTCTTTTTCCTTCTCAGTGATGGATTCTGACTCCTCACCTACAGTGTCTGTGACTTCCTCTTCTGGGTTGTTCTGGGCTGTTTCTGTGGCAACTTCCAAAGATGAGGAGGATGGAAGCTAGTCAGGCCAAAAAGGGGTGCGGTGGGGAGAGAAATGGAATCAGAAAATGAAAATTGAGTCTCTTTTTTAAATTTTATTTTATATTGGAGTATAGTTAACAATGTTGTGTTAGTTTCAGGTGTACAGCACAGTGATTCAGTTACACATACATATGTATCTATTCTTTTTCAGTTATTTCCTCATTTAGGTTATTACAAAATATTGAGCAGAGTTCCCTGCTGAATTTCTGAACTTACATACCTTGCTCTCAAATGAGGCAGTCCTCTTCTCAGGACTAAGGGCAAGTATCGAAAGCATGCACGTCTGAGTCATATTGTTAATCTATTTTAAGTCAATGTGCATTAAACCCTGAACCCAGCATGGAAGGATCAGAGGAATACAGCCACGGTCCCAAAGGATGCACCAACCCTGAGTATTCAGCCATCAAAACCAGTCAACTCTACACTGTAGACAGGGGAGGTTCCCTAGGAAGGATCAGAGGAATACAGCCACGGTCCCAAAGGATGCACCAACCCTGAGTATTCAGCCATCAAAACCAGTCAACTCTACACTGTAGACAGGGGAGGGTCCCTACACTGTTCCTGGGGACTGCAAGGAATGGGGGTTGCTGAGAAAGCACATCCCAAATGAGCACACACCTTGGGACTTCCCTGGCCGTCCAGTGGTTAAGACTCCGTGCTCCCAATGCAGGGGGCATGGGTTCAATCCCTGGTCATGGAACTAAGATCCCACACACAGCATGGCCAAAAAAAGAAAAGAAAAAAAAGGGTAGTTCCAAATGAGCACACACTATAACAGAAGAATGAAGGCCCAGCTGAATGCTGAGGGCGATCGCAGCACTAGTTTAGAAAGTGTGAGGGCAGAGGAGAGGCACTGAGGAGGCACCTCGAAGGAGGGAAGGTATGAAGAAAGAGGAGGGAACCTCCTAGGAGTTCAGAACGAGCCCGGAGGCGGCCTGTTTCGGGGAAGGGGCGGAGGGAGCGTGGGCTGGCGGCGCGAGCCCTCACGCAGCTGACGCAATTGTGCACTCACAACTGAGGCTCACAGAACTCAAGGGATTTTCCAAAGGCACAGGTGGCTGCGTGAAGCACGAACTGCATCAGGAATCCATGAAATTCAGGAAGCTGTATACAAAATTCCTATGTACGTTTCTGTGCCTTTTTCTGGTGAGGTGGATTTCAGCCTTCGGATTCTCGAGGGGGTTTTGCTGCCACCACCAAGAGGAGAGGAGAGTCACGGAGCGGGGGCGGGGGCGACGGGCACTGACCATCTCAAGGTAACGACCAGACGTGGAGGAAGAGTTAGAGAAAGCCCGCCATTCCCACACAGGGCCACACGGGAGCAGGGGCGGCCTCTTTGGGTCACAGGCCACGGCCACGTGGCCCGCCCGCGACGTCCTCCGGGAGCCACAACACACCAGGCTCGCTCCACCTCGCGTGCTGCTCCCCATGCCTGCAACGCTCACCTCTCGTGACACCTGTGGAGCTCCTGCCTCCCGTCACTAGGGCCCCCCCTCAAAGGCCACTTCCTCAGAGGCTGTCCCTGACCAGCCCATGTACGAGGCACTGCTCTGTCTCCCACAAACCCCTAATCCTGCTTTAGCCTCCCTCACAGCAATCAGTACGTCACATCCGTAACTGTTTACTACGTGTCTCCCTGTAGGACGATAAAAGTGCGCATTTGGTCCTTGATCCCCAGTTCCTGGCACGAGAGCTCCTAAAACCCTTGGCATCTCCCAGGTTAAGACAGAGGTGTCTTGCTTTTGTTATTTGTAATAAGCCGCTCTCCCCCAAAGTTATGCTAATGAGATGACTGTGGTGGGACCTAGTTTCAGACTGGGGGCTGGTCACCGGAGAGCCCAAGCAATTGCTGAGAGGGCTGGAGACTGAGATCAATCACCAGTGGCTGATGATCTAGTCAACCGTGCCTACAAAATGAAGGCTGAATTTACACACCTTGCATACAAACCCTTAAGGACGGACGGGCTCTGGGGAGCTTCTGGGTTGGTGAACACATTGACGTGCTGGGAGGGTGGCCTGCCTGGAGAGGGCATGGAAACTCCACACCACCCTCTACCCCATACTTTGCCCTATGCACCTCTTCCATTTGACTGCTCCTGACTTGTATCTTTTGTAATACACCAGTAGTCATAAGCAAACCACTTTCCTGAGTTCCATGAGTCTTTTCAGCAAATTATCAAACCTGGGAACCTCTGAATTTGTAGTCAGCTGGGCAGAAGTGTGGGTAGCCTGAGAACCCCATCTGCAGCTGGCATCTGAAGTTGGGGTAGTCTTGTGGGACTCAGCCCTTAACCTGTGGGGTCTTCACTAACTCTGAAAGTTACTGGACACCCAGTTGGTGTCAGAGGCTTGCATAATAGGTATGGAAAAATGAAAGCTATTTGGTATCCGAAAACACCAAATACTCCTCCACTGGCACATGTATGCGTGCGTGTGTACGTGTGTGTGTCTACGTGCAGGAGGGCAGGGCCTCGTCCCGCAGTACTGGTTGTTTGGCGGTTTTAGTGGGGAGAAGGGAAAAGGTTGAGTAACATCAGTTTCAGATATGTTGATTTTGAAATGCTGGAGAAAATATTCAAACTGGAAATTTATAGCTGACAATGGAAACTCTGGGAATGGAGCCCGGTGAGAGAAAAACAGAGAAATATGGACCCAAAAGACTATCATGGAAGCAGAACTTAAAGCCACTTCTTCAGGAGACTTGGCTGAGCTCCGAAAAAGACCCTAGAAATAGACAGGCAGAGTGCCAAAGTTGGAGCCCTGAGCAGTCCACTGCCAGGGGAAGGACATGGAACAGTAGGGAAGCTTTTCAATCTAGCCCAGAGGCCCCAAACCTAAGACCTTCCCTGAGCATCCACTGTACCACTCTCCTTTCCCACCTGACCATGAGCTTCTTGAGGGCAAGGACCATGTTCATTATTCTTATGCTCCCAGTTCCTGGCACATGGTTGGGCATAATGTCCATGAAACAAAAGAATCTTGGAAATGCCTGTTCTTCAAGCAGAAGAAAAGACACAAAAACCACAAGAGCACTCACATTTAATGAGCCCTCCTTTTTCAAGGCCCTGAGAACTGGCATTTACACTCATGCTTCTATCATACATCTATTTCCTGGTCACCCCCCACCAGGTCACAGCAGTGGCACCCTGGGATGGGAGACACTGAAGCTGAAAGTTCTACCCTAAAGGGAGAAGACGGTGGTCCGAAGACGGTGGTCCAAAGACACACCACACCCAGGTCAGTAACCATGCTTCCCGAGAGAGGGGTCACCCTTTTCTTACCTGGGGGGCTACAGGGGGCTCTGCATTGGGCGGCTTGACAAAGAAAGGAATCCGGCCCCTCTGCCAGTCATTGAGGACCATCTTCCCCACAGTCCGCAGGTCAGGCTCTCCACCCTGAAATGTCGCAGGAAGAGGCCCAATTAAATTCAAACAACAAAACCACCTCCTGGTTTGGAAGCACGGCAGTGGTCCCAGTTGGCACCATCTACCTGCCAAGTTTTGCACTTCACACTGCTCACACATGCATATATAAAAGTTCCACACCACACACGCACACACCTGCAGCACGTCCCAGTCTGAATTCTCACAAATCCTGGCTTACCTTCAATAACTTCCCTGTCCGGAAAGCTAGCTTCTCAAGAAAGTCCTCAGCGTTCTCCCAAGAATCAATTTTGTATGTCTTGCTGATATATTCTGGCTTTGCTCGTTCAAGTACAGCACCAATGTGGTCTTCAGGAGTCTTAATTTTTTCAACTTGAACCTAAATGTTCACAGGAAAGCTCTTGCTTACAAACTTGATTATGGAAGGAGTGAAGTTCCCAGTGTTCTCTGTAACCATATCTGAAAACAGATTTCAATGCCTCAAAGCAAGCGGGGCCTGGCAGGAGCTTGGCCTGGAGGTGGCGAGATGCAGTTGGCTGAAAGGAGCGCCATGGACAGCCGACCGCAGCCGCGGAGCCCAGAACTCAGCTCTAACCTTGGCTCACCACAAACTGACAGTGTGACTTCCGCAAGTAGTTTAAACTGGAACCCTTTGTGCTACTGACTTGCAGAAATGGTTAAAAGTCCACCCATCCCAGGACACAAAGAGAAGGGAATAGTTTAAGAAAGAAGGGGAGGAACCGCACAGGATGCATAGCCAGAAGCACTGGTTAAGGTTAAGTGGAACCATTTAAAGCTCTCGGTCGTCTTCAGAAACAAGTGAGGAAATGACCGAGTTCCAAAATGACTCAACCCATAAACCCATGAAGATGAATTATCTCTAAACATAAACAGGCCCTGCTTCCCTCTGGAGCCCGTGTATAAACGACAAACTCTTTTGTGGGATGACATTGACCAGATATGCCCACGGTTCCACTAACTCCTCAAACAGGCTTAAGTGGAATGGAGAGACTGCCCTGTTCAGTGTCATGTTCCTCAAGTTTGGTCAGACAGGCTGACCCCAAACTGTCTGCTGAATGAGTAAAAAGCAAAGGTATCCAGAGTTCCCCACAGAGCGCTGGCCCCAAAAGGCAAACAAAGAGCCTCTCGGGACCAAAATACTCACTACTCCTTTGAGCACAATGTCCGTCTCTGAGTCCTCAGAGGGGTAAACCACACCGGGACAGTCGATAAGGAATATCCGGCGCATCAAGGTAATATACTGCCAGACCTAAAAAGCAGAGACTTCCCCAGGTCAATCCCTGAAAGCAATTTCACAAACCCCTGATGCTCAAGAAACTAGAGAGGGGGGTAGCGGTCAGAGAGGAGCAGCCTGCTGAGTAATGAAGCTCCAAAGCGCCTCTCTTTGGGCTGCACATGAGGCACTTCCACGAGGCATAAACTGTAGTTTCCAACAGCTAAGGGTCTAAAAATAATGCAGAGGCAGGATCTCCATCTAGTATTGTGCAATAATGTCCAGTAAAGCTTTTTCTGATTTTTAAAAGTACTCCTGGAAGCTTAATACTGCTTGGCCCCTGTTCCTTTCAGCAGAACCACGGTGCTCCCCAAATACCCTGTGTTCCAGGGTAGGACCCCCAACCAACAGAATCTACCCGAAAATTGAATTTTCTTTCTTAACCCAGGCACCAAACATTCTTGGGTTAGTTTTGTTTATCAAAGCAAAAGGCTGGAGTGACAATTTAAAACACACTCAAATGGCACATACCGAACCATACCAAAGTCAGGCAGTGGCACACAAAGTACTCTTAGTCTTATCAAAAAGGGCAGAAACAGCTCCAGGACGTTGCCAACTATTATATGGAGACTAAACTCCCAATGGCGATCTTCACCCAAGAGAAGCAGATAGACGTCTCCATGTCCTGAATTATCACCCTCCATGGAAATAAAGTAAGTCAAAGCAAATAAGACCCCCTCGAGCCAGACATACCTTTGTTTCACCTGCAATGGGGGCCACATTGCAAACTTTCTTGGAGCGCAGTGTGTTTATGACAGAGCTCTTGCCAACATTTGGATAGCCAATGAACCCCACGCTGATCTGTTTCTTGTCAGTGTGCAACTGTTCAAAAAAAAAGAATACACACCACATACACGCAGAGTGAACATCCCATGGGACAAACAGGTTGTGTTACTTTGCTACCATACAGAATACAGTACAAAACTATTGCTACAACTTAATTTAAAACCCAGACATGCACCACCTGCATAGTCTGAGTGGGCTGCATACACATACTCTTTAATAAATCAGAGGTGAGTCAGCTCCTCGGTCACTCATGTGAAATTACTCTTGAATGTTTTAAGGTTAAAAGTACGTAGGTTGAGGGCTTCCCTGGTGGCGCAGTGGTTGAGAGTCCGCCTGCCGATGCAGGGGACACGGGTTCGTGCCCCGGTCCGGGAGGATCCCACATGCCGTGGAGCAGCTGGGCCCGTGAGCCATGGCCGCTGAGCCTGCGCGTCCGGAGCCTGTGCTCCGCAACGGGAGAGGCCACGGCAGTGAGAGGCCCGCGTACCGCAAA